TTGCGTTTGTGTTGTTTTTATTTTAATACACTCACACATATCCATGTGGTATGTTAGTATATATCCATGTATTCCCTCACTATCTTCTGGAACACCCTACAGGAAATGGCAGCCCAGTTACAGCAAGCATTCCTAGCACATGTGTCTCAGCTTCTAATTCCTAGTCTCCAATAAAAGGAACCAGGCCTCCCTGGAGAATGGACTGGGCAAGGAAAATACAAGATGAGTCTGGAGCATCTTGTGATGCCAGAAAGAAAAATTATGTTCCAAACATGGCAGGGGCACAGCAAAAGGATGCAGGGCCAACCTGACAGAGCACTCAATGCCAAAGTGAGAGCCATTTCAGCAAAAAAATAATGATAATTTTAGATATAAACGAGAAGGGACCTTGGACTATACCTCAGACATAGATATAGTTCATAGAAAATGACAAATGTCTGTGGTTCCTACTGCTGAAAATAACTGAGGAAGAAAGGGGAATTGTTTCTTACAGAGAATTCCACTGAATAAATGTAGAATGAGATGAGGAAAGCTGGAAATTATCAATTTCTCCATTAAAAAAAATAAGGATCAGTCTGGGGAGATGGCTCAGTCAGTAAAGTGTCTACTGTGCAAGCATGAGGATCTAAGTCTAGATCTCCAGAACCTACCTAAAGAGCTGTAACCCCAGTTCTGCAGAGAAGAGATAAGCAAATCTCTGAAGCTCACTTGCCAGCCAGCCCAGCTGAATCAATGAGCTTCAGGTTCAATGAGAGACCTTGTCTCAAAAAAAAAAAGTGGTAGGCTGGAGAGATGGCTCAGCAGTTAAGAGCACTGGCTGCTCTTGCAGAGAACCAGGGTTCAATTCCCAGCACTGTCTGTAACTCCAGTTCCAGGGGATCCAATGCCCTCTTCTGACCTCTGCAGGCATTGCACAACACAGATGCACTATGTGCAGGCAATATACTCATACACATAAAATAAAAATAATAAAATATTTTTTAAAGCCAAAGGTGGACTGTAATCAAGGAAAGGCATCAACCATCAACCTCTGGCCTCTCCACACACGTGTATCCACATGCACATATGCGCATATCCATATTAACAAGGACATATACCACACACATAAATACACACATACCACCACCACCACCACTACCACCACCACCACCACCACATGCACACACAAAAAATAAAAATAAGTATCAAAACAGCCTTGTGTTTCAAGATCTCATCTCCAAAGAAAATAACCCACATGCTTAGTAAGCTGAGTTTCTCCTCTCCATCCTTGCAATCAGCTAAGGACAAGGTCATTGCAGAGCTGCTTGCCATGAATTAAGACCAGGGGAAATGGCTCCAGGTTCAGAATGGTTCCCTTTCAACCCTGCACCATCCAAATCTCTCCTTGTAATCATCTCAGGCCCTGGATTTCTGAATCTTATTACTTCCCTTGAGTTACTGGTCCTTCTGTGACCTATCAAAATGCCAATCACATTTTAAGCCCTAGCATCTTTCTCCAAGAGTTCCCAGTATTATCAGGACTCATTGGTCACTATTAACAATAAACACAATCCACCTTAAGCAAAAAATGATTTCCTACAAGACATAACTGAAAGGCCCAGTGGAAGGCTAGCTTCAGGCTTAACTAGATCTAAGGACTCAAATGACCCATCTCTTTACAGTACCAGCTCCACCACAGTGACAAGATGGCTGCCAGCAGAGATAAGCCAACAGCCTACACTCTCAGCTAACTTAGCAGAAAGAGAAATGTCTTTGACCTAATGCTCACTGCCCAGCACTGGCCCTCAGGACCATTGCTGAATCAATTTCTATGGCCAGTAGAAAGGACTCCCCTAACAGCCTGGCGAACACAAGTGGAGTAAGCCCTGTTCAAAACTCATACAATATACATAAAATATGATAGATCTCCAAAGAAAAGTCTACATGTTGTCCCCTATGACAAGAATGATTCCTGAGTTACAAAATTAACAAACACCCACTATAGCCCAGTCCTTCATTCAGAATCACTTCCATCCTATCACTGCCAGCCTTTTGCCTAGATTATCTACACTAGCAGTGGCTTCCTTCTGAATGATGGACAGGCCCAGTCACACAAATCTCAGTTTACAAGTATCCCAGGAACCAGAAATCCAGTTCCCCAGAGTCCATCCCATACCCTGCTGCTTATCAAAGTGCCATGTGCCCCTAGAACTCACTTCTTCCATGAAGCCAGCCTTCCTATGCCAACCTTGAGAGTGCTCTGCGAAGTCACAGCCTGCTCCACTAGTGTCTGACATACTCTAAAACATAGAGATGCTGGCTTGACAGGTGAGATAATTATCCTTGCTCATTCACTTATCAGCCACAATGAAAGAACAGTCCTACAGTATTTGCTCATGCTCATTTGTACCTGCTGGATCTCCCTTCCCAGGTGCAATTCCCAGGGACCAGCCTATACCTGTTATGTGGTATATCGAGCCACCATACACTGCCCTCTCATCAAATGCCTGGTTGTACTTTCAAATGTCTGTCTATAAACTAAAGACAGGATCACCAGATCCCCAAAGCTTTTGGTGTCTGAAGGAGCTGTGGTATGTCTTTCAGATGACTTATACGCTGGAAGCCAACTCTCTTCACAGCCCACTTGCCCCTCAGATTCCCCAAGGCAGACCTTACCCTGAGACCAGCCTGGACCTCTCTGAAGAATATCACTCTGGAGGATTCCAATGCCCACAGCACAGATAAGATAGAGGAAGAAGATGGGGAAAAGCAGAAGGCACTACAGCTCCGAGAAGGGGCTTTGAGGTCCTACAATGAGCCTAACCTGTCATTCATCCATTTGTTCAAGCCTTTATTCAGAACAACTATGTCCTGGGTACTTGTATAGGTGCTGCAGACCTGGAAACTCACAGCATATACCAGGTCTCTGTCCTCGTAAAGTACACCTTCTAGGAAACTGCTGGCATACTTACACATCTGCTTCATCTTGCGCTGACTTCAGTGGTATCTACACAACCCTCAATAAGTGGAATAACCATCTCTAGTTTACAGACAAAGAAAACAGCTGGTCCACAGGGCTAGATGACCTTCACAAAGCCCAGGCACAAACTCTGGTCTTCTGAATGCAAACTTTCTTTCTCTTTCTGTGGCCTTTCCGAAGGCCAAGGAACAGCCTGGCACTGAAATGGACATTAAATTCACTCCATCCAAGGCAGTACTGCCGAAGACAGAAAATGCAAAAAGAGAACCCCAACCCCTGATGTAAAGGAGACAACAGTCTAAGAGAAAGGCTGGAACTATCATCTGTGGCAGGAATAAAGACAGAGTGATTGAATTAAAGGAAGATAGCTCCGGAAAGATACACAAGAAATGATGACTGCCTCCAGGCAGGAAAATTGGGTACCTGAGGAACAAGGGTCATTTTGTCTGTTTCAAATATTATATATCTCGAATTGTGTATATTTGAATGTGTTTCCCATTAAATAACACTTTGAAGATGCAATCAGCCAAATCCTGAATGTGGAAATTCTACAGGATAAATGATCTGGTTCTTCAACAAGGAAATAGCTAAATAAAAAAATAAAATAAGATACAAGAAGAAAGAAGAAATGTTACCTATTTTAAAAGACTTAGGAAATGTCAACAAAATGTAATATATGTACCATGTTTGGATGTACATTGGAACAAACACTATAAAAATACATTCTGGGAGCTGGGGAGATGGCTCAGCAGGCAAGAGTGCTTGCTGTACAAGAATGAGGATCTGAGTTCAAATCCCCAGAATCCATGTAAAAATCCAGGTATGGTATGGACCCCTGTAATCTCAGCACTGTGAACAGGGAACACACGGGAGGATCACTAGGGCTTGCTGGCTGCCAGCCTAGCTCCAGGGTCAGTGAGAGACCCTGTCTGAAGGAAATAAAGTGGAGAGTGACAGAGCAGGATACACAACATCCTCACACACACAACTCACACATACTTACAAATAAATATTTTTCAAAGACGTGGGGAAAATTTGAACATGATTTAGCAGCTAGAAGTTATTAAGGAATTATTCGTATTGTTAAGTATGACTGCAATATTATGGCTTTGCTTTTCAAAGGTCTTTCTTCTACTAGAGACACATACTAAAGAATGTATGCATAAAACAATATGGCACCTAAGGCTGGAATTTAAAGACTTCAGAAAGAGTAAATAAAATAGGGAGCAGACAGCAAATAAGACACTGATCACGTTTCTGCCTGGATTAGCCTCAACTCCGCTCTCTACCTTTATAGATAGTTGAAATTTCCATAATGAAAAGTTTAAATTTAAAATTTTAATTATCCCATATGCAAAGGATCTCTGAAAGGTCAGCAGCACAGAGGGGAGGTGTCCAAGCTGAGCCCTGAAGCATAACTAGGAATTTTCTAAGGACAGTCCAGGCTGTGGAGACCATAGCCGGTCTATCCCCAACCTCTCTATGCTTGATCGCAGGCTCAACATCTGATACATCCTACCAAACACTGTCTTGCTGGATCCCTCAACTCTCTGGGATCTCCAGTCATAGCATCTACATCAACTGCTATGTTCTGACTGAGGAGAGAATGTGTGGAGTCCACAGCTCCACTTCTACAGGAAGCCCCGAGTGGCTTTCAAAGGACAAGAAAGCAATTAACTTCTTTCAGTTGGATTTTACCTAACAATGCAGCTTAGAAGTTATGAGAAGCAAGGGCCCACAACCCCCCAGCCCCACAAGGCAGCCCACAGTGGCCTCCCCAGCGGAACCTCATAATGGCCTCAGTACAAAGAACCCAGCTTGATGTGGGATGGCAGACCCACTCAGATACTAAGACACCAGCACAGGAATGAGGAGTCCTCCACTTCCTCTTTCTAAACCCCTATGGCCAGTGGCTACTATATCAATACCAATGCTGTGCTCAGCCCACCTCCAGCTCTCCACAGGAAGTAGATTGGCTGTGCTGCCACTTCAAACTTAGCCCATCCTGGTCCAACTCAAGTGGGTCCCATGGGTCCCTTACCTGGGATCGAAGCTGCAAATACTCCTTTGAGCCATATGGGACTCTTCTCAGGGAGGTGAGGTAGTCATAACTGATGACAGCTGTCTGTGAACCAAGGGAGGGGGAAATTTAGCACCGGGAACATCAAATATCATACTTCTTCCCAAGTCCTACAGCAGTAGGCTCTGACAGGAGCTTCTGGGTCTACAGGAAGGGTTGGTCCCACCCCTTGGATGCTCAGTCCCCAGACTTTAGCCTGAATACTCCTTCCTGGTCATCAGGACTCAACACAGAGCGGCCCAGTGTCAAGTTGCCCCTGTACACCAGAAACTCTCTGTAACTGATAATAACTAACCACCATCCAAACTTGTTTGTTTGCTCCTTGTGTGCAAACTGTCTGAATTTAAGTTCAGACACAACGGGTAGGCCTCCCCACTCATCACTTTTCCCTAGTACCTATTACACTGCCAGGCATACCAGTAGACAGTAAATATTGACTAAATGAATGCTGTTAATCCATCTCTCCCTACCACAAATAAGCACTGCTTTATATTTATGCTTATTCTAACAAACTAAGTTTCGATTCTAGATTCTCTGGCCAAAACCCTTAATGAGTTCCCTTATCCATGGTCAGTCAGAAAATCACAGACTTTCAATATGTCTTCAGCATAGAGGAGGAATATCTAGCTCAAACCATCCTTTTAGGACTGAGCAACTAAAGTTCCAAGAGTTATATTCAATAGTGTTCATTTGTCTGCACTCCCCAAAGTGCAATTCCACTCCATATGCACTGACTGAGCACCAGCAACCAGCACTTACTCACTGAGTGGTATACCAGGATGGTCAGGACCAGAACCCTTCAAAGAATGTAAAGCTTACTGTTAGGCCTGCCTGCCTTTCTGGGTCCTTTTCCTTTTCTTTCTTCCATCTTTTTATCTTGGATGTGGGCCAGAGCCTCAGTATATTTTCTCTGTCTGATACTTTGGACGTTTCACTTTTTCTCTAATGCTCCCCTCCTACCATGTGGCTGACCTCCATGATGTCTTAACCCAAAGGCCATGGATTTTTTTCTTTCCTCTTCTCTAACTCCCTCCTCTGGACAGATGCTGAGATTACAGTGTGTCTGCCCTGGGGTTTTTCTTTTAAACCCTAATAAAATTGCTCTGAGCTTCAAAAAAAAGGGGGGGGGAGAGAGAGAGAGAGAGAGAGAGAGGAGGGAGAGAGAGGAGGGAGAGAGAGGAGGGAGAGAGAGGAGGGAGAGAGAGGGGAGGGAGAGAGAGAGAGAAAGAGAGAGAGAGGGAGGAGGGAGGGAGGGGGGAGAGGGAGGAGCAAGAGAGCACAATGCACCACTTAGTGGCTGGTTTGGAAAGCAGCAGCTGACACTTTCCTTTGGGCTACTCAAGTCCCTAAGGTGCCACTGAAATACTGCTCCCAAGAGATACTCATCCCAACTCCCAGGCCCCAAGGCACACTGATATGTCTAATCATAGCAGCAGTCCTGACATGTACCCGGCTTCAGGCTGCTTTTGAATCCATTCGTGTGTACACCCCATGATCAGAGACTCCCTCAAAGCTGAATCTAAGTGAAACAGTCTTTTCATACCCTTCAAAACATAAAAGAAGACAGTCAGGCATGGTGGCACACACCTTTTATCCCAGCACTCAGGAGGCAGAGGCCAGCAGATCTCTTGTGTGTTTGAGGCCAGCCTGGTCTACATAGCGAGTTCCAGACCAGCTGGGGCTACAGGGAGACCCTGTCTCAAAAAGACCAAAAAATTAAATAAAATAATAAAATAAAATAAAAAATAAAGTAAAATAACATTAAAATAAAATAAAATAAAACACTGGGCCCCCAAAGGCAGTTGGTAAACACTTGGAGATGGTTTCATACTTCATAGCCTGTTAATCCAAAGCCTGTTTGCCTATTTGAGTTCATAACTCAGTTTACCCTCTGGGACAGGCACCATGTCAGTGGCCTCTCTCTGAGCCAGGCTCAGGAGAACACTTTATAACACCAAGTCCTAAGAAAATAAAGGAAGAGAGCTACATCCTGATGCAGAGCCACATCAAGGAGAGAAACTGAGCAACTGTGATCTTGCTCACTAGGCAGCAGGTAAAAGAGAAAGTTTGGGGCACACAGCCATCTCCCTAGTAGAGAGACTGTATGGCAGTGTCTGGGGAGTCACTGTCAGCAGAGCTAAGAAGACATGATCACACCAGGATGATATTGCTATTGAACTGCTGGAGAAAACCTCTAAAGTCAAATATTCAAGTCAGATTCTCTGTTAGGGGATGGAAGTGGATTCTCAAAGTTCTCCAGGTCCCAGACACATATGAGTTGCGCATTCAGAACTACTCAAATTAGCTCACCGGAACAAGATCATTTGCTGGCAGAATTTTTTTCTTTTTAAAGAGGAAAGATTTCTTCATTTCAGGGGTGGGGGGTGTTTTCTGAGACACAGTTTCCCTGTAGCCACAGCTGGCCTGGAACTCACTATGAAGACCAGGTAGCCTTGATCTCATAGAGATCTGCCCACCTGTCTCCCAAGTATGGGAATTAAAGGTGTGTACCACCATGCCCAGCTAAAAGACTGCTTTTGATTCATGGTATTTGGTATCCAAATGCTTGGACCATGGTCACTTGGTCACATAATCTTGGGCAGAACATCATGGTGGGGGCATGTTGTAGGGGACACCTCTCAAGTTCACCTCATGGCTGACAGGACATGGAAAGACTGCAGGCAGAACTGAATCTGCAAAGACTTCTTTCTACAGAGTCTCTGCGCAGCATTTCCTGAGGAACACTTCCTCTCAGTCATCAGTACAGCAAAACACAAAGCCTCAATGTGAGGGCCTCAGAGCAGAGACCTGGTGCAACCTCACTCAAATGCAGGGGTTGCATACACAGGAGTGAAGGCACGTGAGGATGCAGTCATGACTAAAGCTCTGTAGACAGACATAGAGCTCTGGAACACTTGCATCTCCAACTCCATATACATCAGTATACCGACCTGCTACACCACCTACAGAACACCTTCAACTTATACTGTTCTTCCTCTGTTACCACAAATGAGAAAAACCTACCGTAGCAACTGCTCTGCCCACCCTGACAGGGCCAAAGTCATTAGGGTCCAAGTAGCCGTTACTGTAGAGGTAGATACCAGAGGAAGCAAGAGCCACACTAGTCCAGGAGGCAAGCTTGAGAGCTTTTCCCGCCATGTCCCCAGATCCTACACAAGAAAGGAAAGTCAAAGATTAGCAGTTATAAGTTTCATAGTGAGTCAATCTAGAATTCACATCCCAGCTCTGCCACTTAAAGACTGTATGACCTTGTATCCTTTTCTTAATCTCATGGTGCCTCAGTTTCTTCATTTATTAAAAAAAAAACAATAGTGCATACCTCAAAGTTATTAAGATGAAGTGGAATCGTTACATAAAATGCTTAACGTAGCACTTAGCACAAATCAATTCTCAAAGTCCTTCTTTCAACAGTGCCAGGTTCTAGATACAGTGGAGAAGGTGAACAAACCACAAGCCTTGCCCATGTGGCACTTACACTTTAGGGTGGGATGGCAGAAAAGCAAAAGGCAAAAGTATGTATAATATACTATCAGAGCTGCTAGGAAGTACTAGGAAGCCAAGTAACAAGGGCTGAAGGATCCGGATGAAGGGTGCATTTTTAGGTAGGAAAAACGGGAAGGGCATGCTAACCACTGCCACTTGTAACTAGTACCATCCCAGCACACAGCCACAGGCATCATCAGCCTTGATGCACAGGTCAGAAACAGGCCCCTGCGAAAATGCTCGCTGGGCAGAGACAGCCAGTAGTCCCTCCATATCTGGCTGATATTCAAAATAGTGACTTCAGTTAGACAGTCTCTTGTCTAGACTATGCTGCTTGACAGTAAACACCATGATTGATGGGTCACATACAGTCCTGTGGCTACTACTAGGTACCAATCGCATACTGTTGGCTAGTGAGACCTTTCTCTCCTTACTTGCACCTGCTCAGTCCACCAGGTAGCTGGCTATACAGTTTTTCTTTGGGGTCACTGTACTCAATGTACTACCTCCACAACAATCCCCAAGTCGTCTATATCCAACTAAAGCCCTTGACCCAGCCACAGGCGCCAAAGGACAGGCCCCACACAGAGAGGTGCATCACCAAGCCTCCTGCCAGTGCAAAGCCTACAGAGATGCGGCAGCAAGATGCAGCTCGTCAGCCTATGTGTTTCTGCTCTGGCCTGAGTCTGTGGCTATCATCACCCTGTTCTGTACCTTGGTTTCCTCTCTGTGTACCTTGGTTTCCTCTCTATGTAGAAGCTACAAACAGCCTTATTTTCATTTTCTCTATAGTCTGACTCAGGATTCATAACACAGACAGAGGCTTTTCTTTATTCACAAAGTACATCTTTTTATGTTCTTTTACTTTCAGTTTATATTTTATGGGGTTTTTTGTTTTTGGTTTGTTTTTTTGTTTTTGTTTTTGTTTTTGTTTTGCTTTTAGAGACAGGGTCTCCCTGTAGCCCCAGCTGTCCTGGAACTCGCTAGGTGGACCAAGCTGGCCTTGAACTCACAGAGATCTGTCTGCCTCTGCCTCCCAAACGCTGAGATTAAAGGCGTGCACCACCATGCCTGGCCTCAACTTACATTTTATACCATTTCTTTAAACAGCATATAGTTGACTTTTGAGGCTTACATTTAATACAGCTTGCATATCTGTATTGGAATTTACCACCTTCTTCCATGCTTCCTATGTTTCCTACCTGTTCAGCAGCTTTTTTTTTTCAAGATTTATTTTATTTACATGTATGCGTGTGTGTCTGTGTGTATGTGCATATGTGTGCAGGTGTCCACAGAAGCCAGGAGAGGGCATCAAAGCTCCTGGAGCTGGAGTTGCAGGTGGTTGCGGGCCTCCAGACATGAGTGCTGGGAACTGAACTTTAGTCCTCTGTAAGAGCAACAAGCACTCTTTACCGCTGAGCCATGTCTCTAGGCCCTTTTCTCCTTCCTTGATTCTTTGCAGACTCAGTGCTTTTTAGAATCCCATTATCTTTCCCTCTGCAGCCTTGTTTTCCTAGCCCAGCATTTGTAAAGTATAGTCAGAGAACACCTGAACAAGCACCAGCCTGCACACCATTTCAAAAACGCAGGTTCCCAGCTCTTACCCTATGGCCCACTGACGCTGCCTCGAGGGTAAGATTTGGGAATCTGTATATGAGTAAGAGAGCAAGTGATTTTAGATGAACAGGAGTTTGAGAACACTCTTCCTTCTTTTCAAGACAGACAGGCCTCATGTATTCAAATTCATCAGTAAAACCAAAAGCAGGGCTCCCCTTCCTCAACCCAAGTGGCTGTATTCATGACATAAGGGTGACTGCAAACAATTTATTTTTATTTTATGTGTATGAGTTTTCACCTGTATGTATAGGTATATCCATGTCCTGCAATGCCCACAGAGGCCAGAAGAAGATGTCAAATCCCCTGGAACTGGAGTTATGAATGGTTGTTAACTGCCATGTGGGTCCTGGGAACCAAATCCAGGTTCCCTGCAAGAGCAGCAAGAGTTCTTAACCACCTCTGAGTCATCTCTGCAGTCCCTCAGTCAACACTCTAATAACCCTGTTGGACAGTAAAGTGTCAAGTTGGGTTGAGTCTAGAATCCAGCAGGTCTGGGTTTAAGCTGGCACAGCCTCTTTCAAAGCAGGAGGACCAGAGGCAAACTGCCTCATCTCTGAGCCTCATGACCTCCAGAAATGGGATAACAGCAGTAGCATCTACGTGATGGGGTGGGGAGGAATGAAATAAACCACATTAAAAATAATGTTTAGCAAGGTGCCACCCTCACAGGAAGAACTCAAGGGTAGCTGCTATCCCCTCCATCACTGTTCTTTCTTTTCATCACCTCCTTACCAACACCAGACTTTGGCAAAAATCCCCTTCCCAGCAGCTACATGCCCACTCTAACCTTCCAACACACCCACCTAACCCCACCCTTCACCTTGTTGTGCACAGCCTTGCCCTGAAGTATGCTCTGTTAAAAGGTGATATGCTTGACTCACCCTCCACTTTGTTTCTGCTGAGATACAGGTTCCTTGTCAGACCCAGATGTGGGCCTTAAATTAGGCTGAGTGACCTGAGCTCCTTACACATTGTATTCACTATTGTACACATTGCTGTGTCAGCTTAAACTCAGGCCTACATGATTCTAGACTCAACCTGATACTCTGCTGTCTTGACAAAAAGCAACTTACAGAAGCAATGGTTTATTCTGGCTCTCAACTTGAGGGTACAGTCCATCATGGTGGAGAAGTCACGGCAGCAGGAGCCTGAGGCAGCTGGCTACACTGCATCCATAGTCAGAGAGTGATGAATGCTGCTGCTCAGCATTCTCATTTTTTAAATTTTTTTTATTATTTTTATTTCATGTGTACTGTCTGCATGTATGTGAGTGCACCGTGTCATGCAATGCCTTGGAGGTCAAAAGAGAACACTGTATTCCCTTGGAACTGGAGTTAAGGACAGATCATAGCAGCCATGTGGGTGCCGGGAATCAAACCTGGGTCCTCTGCAAGAGTAGTCAGTGCTCTCAATCGCTGAGCCATCTCTCCAGTCCCCTTTTTCATTTTTAATCAGTCTGGGACCCCAGCCCATGGAATGGTGCAGCCCATATTTAAGGTGGGTCTTCCCACGATTAATCTCTAGAAACTCCCTCACAGTCATGCCCAGAGGTTTGTTTTCATGGTGACTATAAATCCCATCAAGTTGACAAGCAAGATTAGCCATTACATGCACACACAGCCTCCTAGATTTGAGGAGTCACAGGAGGTGTAATTCAGGGGCCTTCCTGTGGAGCACTCAGGAAGCCCATGCTGAGAAGGCAGAATGAGATGAATGGTGGCTGAGGACCCAGCCTCTGGGGCTGGGTAAAAGTCTAGCTCATCACCTATATGACCACAAGTAAGTCACAACCCCCATGTAATCAGTTACACAAAGAGAGCCCTGAAGAGAAGTGAACTTACAGGATCATCACAAGAATAAGGTGTGATGGTTTGAATGAAAATGTCCCCCATAGGCTCCAAGTGTTTGGACATTTTGTCCCCACATAATGGTGCTGTTTTGGGAGGCTTTTAGAAGGTGTGACTATCCTGGAGGAAGCACATCACTGGGGGTGGGCTTAGAGAGTTCTTAAGCCTTGCCAGATCTCCAGTTACTGTCTTGCTTCCTGTGCCTGCATGATGATGAGAGCTTAGCTGCTGCTGCTCCTGCTCCAGCCACCTCCAGCCACCACGCCTCCCTGCCATGACAGACTTTAAGTCCCCTGGAACCATAAGTGCAAATAAACTCTTCCTTCTATAAATTGCTTGGGTCAGTGTTTCTATCACAGCAACAGAAAAGTGACTAATACAGTAATTGGTACCAGAGAGTGGGCTGTTGGCTGTGAAGAACCTGACCATGTGGGGTTTTGAAGAAATGTGGAAGACTTTGGAAGTTTGGGCTAGAAAAGTGGTTGACTGCTGTAAGCTGAGCTTAAATTAACAGGTCATTCTAGTGGGGGCCTGGAAGAAAGCAGTGCTGAGAACAATGTAGTTCCAGAGGGAAATAAGGACTTAGGCTGAACTTGGGACATTCTGGCAAAGAGTCTGGCTGGAGTCTGCCCTCAACCAAAAAGCTTGCCTGAGGCTAAGTTGAAAAGCAATGGACTAATTTCTCTGGCAGAAGAAATTTCAAGGCAGCCTAATGTAGAAATGGTGGTGTGGCTATTAATGGTGAATATTATGCAGATCTACAGAGAAAGTGAGCAAATGGGGCAGAAAAAAAGTTTGGATTGAAAAAGAGCACTAGGAAGATAAATGTTGGAGCCCTGGCATGTGATGGAGAGGATCCCATTGATAAGGAGATTAAAGTGATTAAGGAGATTAAAGTGATAAGGAGGGGCCTAGAGATTCAAACTTAAACAATGGAGAGAGTGCCTCCGGGGCAAGACTACACCCAGTTAAGCCTCCAACTTGTGAAAGGAAAATGCTGCAGGGACCACTGAAGAGAAAAGCTTCTAAAATGGATAAAACTTACAATCAAACTTGGCATTGTTCACCTGGTGCTGGCTTTAGAGGCATGAAAGATGCAAGCGTGAAAGGATCATCAGTTCTTCCTCTGAGGTTTCAGAGAGCTGCTGAGGCCAAGCAGCATGCAGCAGGGGTTCTTCTCCCTAGAGAAGGCCCTGATAGAC